CTAACTGCACCTGCCTTTGGTTCCCCAGGTGAATCCCTCCCAGACAGAACGAACGCCAGCCATTTGCAAGGATCGCGCTATGTTCTCTGGGTCTGAGGTGGTTTGGGGTTAAGATTGCAGGTGAGGGCTGGCAGTGTGACTCAGTGGTTGGGCATCGACCTATGGACCAGGAGGTCAGGTTCCATTCCCAGTCAGGCCGTGTGCCTCGGTTATGGGCTGGACCCTCAGCGTGGAGCGTGCAGGAGGCAGCGGATCAGTGATTCTCTCTCATCATTAATGTTTCTCTCTCCCTTCCTCTCTGAAATCTCTATATCCATCTATATCTATATCTATATCTATATCTATCTCTATCTATATCTATATCTATAGTGAGGTGTAAATAGAAGAGAGAAAGGGGCTGAGGTGTTAACATCTGGACTCCGGTTTTAGAAGCCATGTGGTGGGGCTACCACCTGTGGAGAGCTGTGGTTTATTAGCATTTTTACTTAGATCATGCTTTAGCCTGAGAGCAGATCTGATGATACGGTGGTTGCTGTGGTTTTGCTAAGGTTCTGAGAAGGTGATTCAAAGCTGATTAAGAAAAGTAGACCAGGCTACAGGCCCACTTCACCTTCCCTTCAACCCGAGTAGGTTCTGCAAAAGATTCCCATTGGCAGAGAGCACCAATGCAAAGGAACAAGTTTGAAAAACGCCGTGTTCCATACCCGAGTTTCCTAATGATTGCTCCAAAAGTCACCACTCTGCATGTGTCTAGGGGCATGTTTTATGAATTCTTTTAAAAAAATCAATTTATAAATGAATTTGGTAATTCTAGAACTTTACCTGTGAAATGAATTCAGACTTCTTATTCAAATTTGTGTACACGATCAAATGTATAATGATTCAAAAATATAGGGAGCACATGTTTTACATATCACACAGTGCACACAAATAGAAAAGAAGTTATACAGACTAGGAATCAGTGTGGGGTGGGGCCAATTAAAAAAAGGACGGGTTTCTGTTGGTGGGAAGAAGAGGAAAGAGAGCAAATGGGTAAAAGAAAATAGTGTAGTGGATGTTGGACTGATATCATCTGGATTTCTATTTCGGTTTCAAAACATACTGATTGAATGAGTGAGTTATCTCACCTCCAATCTTAACCCCCAAAGCACCTTAGACCCAGAGAACATGGCGCGGTCCTTGCAAAATCCAGTGAGCCTTGGAGTCGCCAAGTCTCAGGTCTTTTCATGTATAAGATGAGGCTACTATTAGGGTTGTTGGGAGGATTACATTAAATAAGACATTGTATTTAAAACCCTCAGGATGATTTTTTGAAAGTGGTAAGTGCTCAATCAGGTATTTTTGTTATTCTCACTCCCACTCCGCCTCCTGCTGGTTAACCTTAACCACATCTGTGCGGTAGCCTCACCACCACAAACACTCATCTCCATTTCGCTCAGCGGTCGGCAGCCAGAAGTGGTTCAGGACCCAGCGCAGACTTAAGAGCATGGACCATTAATTCAAAAAGATCTTGGTTCAAGTCCTATGTCATCACTTATTAGCTGTATGATTTTGACAAATTAATTTAACAATAGGTGAGTAATAATAGTTCCTTTAGAGAAGTGTTGTTCCTCCCAGAACAGAAGTAGAGCTGTTTTGAGTACATGTGACAAGGCATCTGGCACATAGTTCATACTCAGCAAAGGGAAGCTGGCCTTGACCCTGGGTGGTGGTGCGGGGGGGAGGAGGGGGCATGACTTGGGCCTCACTGGTTCCCTGTGGCCTCAGATCAAGGAGTTGTTGAAGAAGGTGGAGCAGCTTTCAGAGGAAGTCCTGGCAGTTCGGGGGGAAAATGCTCGCCTTGCCTCGCAGCTGCGGGTATGTTTGTCCCTAGGGAAATGGTCACGGCTAGAGAGGAGGGTGGATGGGGGAAGTGATGTGGGAGAATTCTGGGAACCACAGAGACCTGTTCAGGCAGTGGTCCAGGATGGGCTAGTGAGCGGTCGAGGGAGACCATCGGGCCTAGCTGACCACTTAATTTTATTGTTCCTCATGCTTGGGGGTCAGGGTGAGTATGGGAGGGTGGGGACC